CATGTTGGTTCCTAAAGAGGAGCAACACGCAGGTCTGTTTCCACTGCTGGCGGACACGTCCTGTGGCCCCGGCTCCCTTTCCTCCTCTCCTCATCTCTCCCTTCTCCCTCTCCGTCTCCTCCAGCTGTGTTCATGGAGGGACTGGTTTGTTCCAGGCCTAGGCACAGAATATCCAAGACAGATATCACCTTGCAGCTTAATAATCAAGATGCCATCCAAACAGCACCATCAGGAAGTGCATTTCCTCCTGAGATGCCTTGGGTGCAGGCCAGCTTCATGTGTGGAGTGAGAGAAGTCACCTGCTGAATGGTTTCCAAAGGAATCCCGGCCAGTGGGAATAAGTGAGAGGAGGCTGGGGGAAAGGCTTCCAGAGGAGATGGCATGGGGTGTGGTCTCCCCGGATGTAAAGGTGAGTAGGGACTAGGAGGCTGAAACCGAACTTGGGAAGCAGGAGGATTCAGTCACCAAACAGCCACGGGCACTGTAAGAACCTCAGACTCATCCTAAGATCAGCAGGAAGATGGTGACCTTCTGGGCCCTTTCTGTTTTGGGAGTGACAGAGACACACCTTGCCATCACTCATCAGCTCTGCTCCTGTAGGCAGGATTAGGAGGGCCAGGCAATCCACTCAGAGATGCTGTACACATGCATGCCAGTGTGTCTGTCTTTTCATCCTATAATAACATAGGTAGTATCCCAACACAGTTCTTTTATAATACTAAGGATTGAACCTGGGGCCTCACGCACTCTAGGCAAACACTCACTCACCAGACCTATTTTACGTCTCTTTATAAGACAGTGACTTGCTATATTAGTCAACCTGGCTTCAAACATGCTGGTATTACAGGAATACAGTACCACACTTGGCCTGTATGCAGTTTTGTTTCATTTTGTTGAGACAACATCTCACCATGTATGTAGTTCAAGATGGCATCGAACTCACTATATAGCTCAGGCAGGCTTTAAACTTGTAGTCATCCTCCTGCCTCAGGCTCCCAGGTACTGGGATGGCAGGCATGTAGTCCTTTTTTTTTTTTTTTTTGGTCTTTTTGACACAGGGTTGGTTTCACTGTGCAGTTCAGGCTGGCCTTCAATTCATTCTGTAACCCAGCCTGGCCTTGAACTCCCAGTGATCCTCCTGTCTCAGCCTCCCAAGTGCTGGGATTATGAGTGTGTGCCACTGTGCCCAGCTGGGCATGCAGTCTTGAATCTTTTTTTGACAATGTATTTTATGAGCACATACAGAGCTGCCTCATGCTTTTTCCTCTGGACTTGGCTGTTTGTTGTGTGAATATATGATTTCTTGAAGTGGTTCCCTAGAGTGGGCAGCTATATACCACAGCAAAAATTCTTACACACATCTTTGATGCCTGCAGAATTCTGTGAGAGAAACTCCCATAGGCAGAAGTACAGGGCCAAAGACTATGTTCATCTTGAATTTTGGCAAACATCTCCAAAATGCCTGCCATCAAGGTGACATCCAGCAAGGACATGACAGTGAAAACCAAGGATCTCAGTAGAATTTTCATTTCTGTTCCTTTTATTAAAGGTGAGTCTGAGTTGATTTGATACAATTAAGGGCTAGTGGGATGAATTGAAAATTACCCAATTAGGCTGAGAACCAAGCAAAAGCCTGGAGTTGAAAACGGCAATTTATTTGCCCAACAAAGTTTTGCAAAGTGCCTCTTATTTAGGCCCACTTGGGGCACCGATGACCCAGGTGGTTGAAGTGGGCCTGCTCAGTGCCAATCTAGTGAGCAAGATGAGTAAGGAAACATGCCACTAAATGGATGTGCTATTTAAATATGCAATGTGCTATTAAAGTGTTTTCAGATGGAGAAAGATGAGAGCACAGAGAAGGGCAATTCATTATATATAGAGAGAGATATAGATATAGATAGATAGATATGGATATATGGCATAATTTTTTAAATCAATGAGTTAGGAATATGTAGTTAATACTTGTCAATTTTTTGTAAGGTTCATTCACTTGGGCTTATTTTATTTTATTTTTCTGTATTTTAGGGAAGGGTCTACAAGGTGTTCAGGGTCTTACTACTAGATCAGGTGTGTCATGATCCGCCTGTTTACAGCCTTGCAAGAGCTGGGATTACAGACATGCACCATCACACCCAGTCTCAATTGCCGTCTCAGCACACCCCGGCGCGGGGCTGGCAAGGCAGGCCTGGAGATTGAACCCCTGAACCCTGCGCCTGCTTGCAGGCACTTTAATCCCCTGAGTTAATTTGGCCAGCCCATTGGTTTCTCTTAAAATTTGCCTCTGTGCATTGTCCAAAAGTATCTATAACTGCTTTAATAGAGCCAAGATTTTTAAAAACAGTTAATAAAATGTTTTCAAGCTATGACTAAGGGATTGCAAGATTCCCATCAGAAAGGGCAGTGTGTGTAACACAAAGGGAGAAGGTGCCTGATATATAATGACTTTCTTTTAAATTGTCGAGGACTTCTGGGAAGTTGGCAGAGCAGTAAGCAGCAGCCGGCCAACCTTTCCAAGATTTGGAATCCAGACACTGTAAAATAACAACTCAGGGAAGAAAATGAGGAAGGTGGATCCTCAGGATGCACCAAGAATCTGAAGGGAAGATTGGAGCCCACAGAGAATGAGCCAGGCTTCACTGCAGACAAAAGAGGAGGCAATCTGTGCTTTCTCCCAGGTCCCCAGCCCATGTCAGGAGAGTGGAAGACAAATCCAGAGAGATGCAGTGAGGGTGGTAACTCCTCACCAGGGAGTAACCTACAAGTGCATTAGAGCAGTGGAAGCTGTAAGCTACAACAGCTGGTGAGTGATACCAGTCCACACAACTGCTGCATCCCCTGGAGAGGGTGCTTCTCCAGGTGCCACGTTAGGGAGGGTCCAGCAAAACCTGGAACTTAGGTTGGCTTCATCTCAGCCGTGGGTTGGCTTCAGTTCAGGGCTTCTAGCTTTTGAGTCCCCCAGGGACTGGGTGAGGGACAGCTGGGAGAGGTGCTCATTGTCAGGGAGCCAAGGTCAGGCCAGAGTGTTGTAGGTGGGCGACTCAGGACCAACCCCACAGCCAAGGGCCAGAAGAAGCTGAATTTCTGTGGATGTGAAAGAACCAGAACTGGTGCTCTGCCCTAATTCTAGAGCAGGCTTTCTTGGATCCCCCAGCACAGACCTGGGCTCTGATTGCCTCCTTTGTCTACCAGTGACAGCACAGATGTGCCCTGAGTGGACAAACCACAATACTGTAGGCTTGAAGTCACAGAGAAAATTTTTTCTTTTGGTTTTGGGTTTTTTAAAATTGTTTTTTGTTTTATTATTTTATTGGGTGTGAGTGTGATCATTTAGGATTTTTTTTCCTTCTTACTTTCCCTCCTACATGCTTTGTCAATTACCTGAGGCTTGGGTAATCCTCCTTTGCCTATTAGCCTTGCTTTTAATCTCTTTTGCTTCTTTTATTTATCTTTTTTTACTATCCATTTTAAAATTTCTCCTTCTATTAAGTGTTTACTGTATACAATTTTCCAATTTGACTTCCCTTTGCTTCAAATACATCCCATGGTCTTTGGTACTTTCTGCAGCAATTCTGGAAATCTTCTTTCATGAGTGTCACTACAAGTGTTATAAAAACACTGTGAATGCCGCTGTTGTGTACTGTCCAGGACAGGCAGACTCACAAAAACATTACAGTGTGTCTTCAGCTACCTTATTTATGGGATCTGGCACTGTGAAACTTCTGACTTCCTCAGTGTCAAAATGACCATGAAGGGGAAATGGTTTGAATTAACGCAATAGTGGGACTGTAGTCACAATAATAATAATACAGTACTACACAGTAGTGCAATAGCCACAATAGTACAACTAAAAACATTCATGAAAGAGGACTTCTAGAAGTGCTTCAGAAAGTGTTCATGAATTAACAGACTAGAGTTAACAGGTTATAATTTTCATGAGTTAGAATTAGAACAATAATGTCCAGGAGACAAAGAAAATGTTCTTTGGAGGAATTGAGCAGCTCCTGTGGATGTGGGAGGTGGCCGGGTCCACAGACATGATGAGAGGAGAAAATCACCAAAGTTGGTAATTCACATAAACAAAAGAGGAACAAATTATTGACTATTAGGCTAAGCACCTTGCTGAATGTCTCATTGTTTAATTTTGACCTTTTAATACCTCTGTAAGGAAGATAGTTTTCTTTTCAAATTATTGATTTTTAAGTTATCTTTATGATAATGTTCACTCAATGCAGCCTGAAATACTTCCATGAAAGAGGAAAAAAAATGGAGTTGGCCATGTTTAAACCCTCAGGAGGAGTGGTGCTGGCCGTGTGAATTGAATTTATGCGTATCTTGGAGGGAAAAGCAAAAGGCTGAGAATGGCTTGGGCTGTAACTTACAATGTAACCCTGAGCAGAATTTCCTACCACAGGGACTGTATTAGGTGGCTGTGTTAGCTACAACACATACATACATACATACATACATACATACATACATACATACATTTCCTCCAATCTAGGCACACGTTTCATGTATGCTAGCTCATGCAATGAAAGGTTCCACAGATCACTGTTTGCAAGCTGGAGAACCAGAAAAGGCAGTGATGAGATTTAGTCTGAAATCTGAAGGCCAGAAAGCTGGGGGAGCAGATGGTGTTACTTGCAATTGGAGTCTGAAGACCTGAGACTTGAAGAGGGAAAGGCTGTGAGGCTCAGGGAGGATGCAGTTTGGGGTGACTGAGCCATTGGTGTAAGCTGTGGAGCCTGCAGGCAGAAGATGAGTGCCCCTCTAAGAGATAGAGTAAATACAATCTCCCTCCCCTTGTTTGGTTCTATTTGTGGCCCCAAAGGATTGAAAGAAACCCAACTACCTTGGTGAGAGGGGATCTTCTTTGCTCAGTGTACCGACTCAGATGCTCCTCCATTTGGGAAACACTGCTACAGACTCTCAGACAATGTTTCGCCACATAGCTGATGGACGCATAAGACCAAGTATCACCAGAGTGAAGGAGCAGGACTCTTAACAAGCAACTTCCTATGACACAGGTGGGGAATAATCTAGTCTTTTTTGTCATTGAAGTTTCTGTGACCCTTACTTTATCTTATTGCATTGGGTTTCTTTCTTATAGGGCAACATTATTCAGGGACTGATTATCACATTCCATCTACGTGCCAGCTCCGTGCTGACCAGGGACTCGAGAGGAGTGATAGGACCTTGCTCTTGAATAGCTCTGGGGGCCATTGTTACAGGGAATTTGCAGTGCTGGCTGGGAAAGTAAAGTAGATTCAAGAAGCAGACTTAGGAGAGGTAAACTCAGTAAATACAAAAGTCTTCTAAGAAAAGCTCTATTACACTTACAGTGAAGAGGAAATTGGCTTGAGGAAATGGAACCCAGAAGCAGTTGTGTGTGGATGACTCCATCCTGGGAAGCGCAGGTATGTGGGTCGCCCCTAAGCCACTGCTAAAAGATAGTGGTTGTCTCGTTATGTCTTAATATTCTCAGAGGTGGAGTCTGCACAACTTCCTCACAACACTTATGCTCAGGATGTTTTCTTTCTTTTTTAATGTATTTTTAGTACACGGTCTACAGGGTCTCGCTACACAGATCAGACTCTAGTGGTCCTCCTGTTTTCAGCCTCCCAAGCACTGGGATTACCACTCCCAGTCTCAATCGCTGTCTCAGTGTGCCCCAGGGGCAGGGCCGACACAGCAGGCCAGGGGATCAAACCCCCCGGCCCCTGCGTCTGCCTCAGCAGGCTTTTAGTCCACTGAGCTATCTGGCTGGCTCTGCTCAGGATGTTTTCTAATGTCTGTCCTGAATCCCTCTGATTGAAAGTTGAGCTCACAATCTCTTGGAGAACAGCTCTCTGCTGTTTGAATATCACTAATGATTGGGAAGTACTGTGTATGATGCTCTCCCTCCTCATACGTCTATGCTCCTTCCTTTCCAAGCTCTACTATTTTCAGCCCCTCTAGCCATGAATGGTAACATTCTGTGTTTTTCTTGTTGCATATTTCACATTTCACAAATAGCTGCACCATGACCTCCACTTCCACTATATAAACGAAAGTCTTTGGGCTTATTCTACCCTTCTCCCACATGTCAAATTTCTAAGGTTGCACATTGTTCCTTTAGGTTTTTCATTACTTCTTCAAATTTTCATTCTCCTACAAATTCTCAATTTTATTTCATTTTGTTTTCTGTATTTAGGACAGGGTCTACAGGATCTCACTATTAGATCAGGCGCGCACCACCATGCCCAGTCTCAATTGCCATCTCAGCCTGCCCTGTGGGTGGGGCCAGCACAGCATGCTGGGGATTGAGCCCCAGACCTTGTACTCTGCCTAAGCAGGCTCTTTAGTCTGCTGAGCTATCAGGCCAGCCCCAAATTCTAAATTGTACTTGAAAGGCCAAATATTTTTATCTTTTAGCTAGGTTGAATTTCCTTCTCACAGGCTCAGTATCATGCCCTCAGTCCAAGCCTAGGTGGACCTTGGCATGTTCATTTCTGTCTGTCTTTCCAGCGCTCTTTCCTGGGTGAGGCTCCACAAGAGAAGCTTTTGCTTAATGGATGGCAGATGGACTGAGAAGGAAATGCAGACTGTTTTATTTAAGAACCTGCTGCCCTGAGAACACCATAATTGAAAGAGTTATTCAGAGATCTTCCTGAAGAAAGTCTCAGACTATTCCTCCTCTATGCACTGGAAAACACTTGGGTTACAGTTCATGCATCTTTCATAAATGTGTATCAGGGCAAGTTAAGGCTGGCTGTCTGATTTATGTCTAGAAAGCTGGAATCACATCATTCAGGATGTGAAAAATCTGGGGAAAAATTATACCCTTAATGCTTTGAGTGCTTTTCTGGGTTGCAATTTCTAGGACCTGGATCTTAGGGGTGCATTATTGCTGTTGCTTATAAGAAAGGAGCAGATGGAAAATAAATATACTCAGAGGCTCTAAGGCTATTACTGATCAGGAGGCAGGTAGGCAACAGGAAGGAAATACAGGGAAACAGTTGGAGAAAGACATCTAACTTTGGTCTCCTGGGCAACAAGGCTGGACCTGCCAGATGGCTGGTCCCAGGGCTTCTGCACAGGGAAGCCCTCCATGGTGGCTTGGGGGACATTCTAGCCATATTTGGATGGAGTCTGAGCAGTTGTATCAGAGTCTGACAGTGAGTTTCTTCAGGCCTGAGGGCTGCAGGAGGCAGGGCTGGTGAGCACAATGGCGAATGGCAGCAGTGATAACCAAGCAGCTCGTTAGAAAGTGCTTTTCAGGCCAGGGTCAGAAGAGAACTGTGTACAAGCATGCAAGGGACCAAGGATGATATTGAGAAGACTCAGTGACACCAATGAAACAACTGAAGTTCAAAGATCTTGAAGAGATCTCCCAGTGCCATGTACCCAGTTCTTCCGTACTTCGCAGGGCCAACAACTTGAGGATAGAATTGGCTCCCAATAACACTTTCAAGTAGTATTTTTTTCATCTTCGCTCACTGACTTTTGGGAATTTTGTAAGTTCTAAAATCCTTCATAATAACACTGATAATTATAATGGTCATCATATTTTTAAAATAGCTACCATTGTTTAAGCTCTTATTATGTGCTATTTGAAAGTTACAGTTATCCAAACACTCAAGAGTGATATTTGAGAAAATGTAGTTCAGAGAGATTTAATATTGTCCACAAGATAACACAGCTTTTAAGTGGTTGATCTAAGGTCATATACAATTCCAACGTTGCATATTTGCATTAGGACGAATCAGGGACTATGCTAAGGTATCCCTGGAGACATCCTCATCTTCACTGTTCACTGCAGTGTGCTCAAGCAAGGCGCTCCAGTGAAGGAAACACAGGGTGGACTACTTCCCCGAGAGGCACAGCCTGCTGCTCTGGTCTCTTCCACAGAGGTCATCAATAAAAGTCTCTTTAGCTTTCTATGCATTTCTCTGCCTAAGAACCTGGACAGAGACCCAGGCAGGTTGGAAGGGCTCCAACAGGCAAGGTCTTTGTTCTGTTCAAATTTGCTCTTCTCTTCCACCAGCTATTGCTCCTCTTTACACAAATCATCTTGTCTCTCAGGTCTTCCTCCCAGCGCACACGCCTTCACCTTTCACCCAGATAGGGGCCAGCAGCCTAGATAGACATGACTTTATACCGAGAGACCCATTATCTGTATTATTGGAATTATTAAATAAATATTCTGTATGTCTTAGATGTTCTCTCATTAAATTGTATTTTTAAAGGCAATTTATCTTTTCATTCCCATACACAGTATAGTGTTTGCTGTGCAGTTTTTAAGTTTATAATGTGAATGAGTATATGAATGAATGAATGAATGAATGTAGGTAGGTAGACAGAATTGGGTGCTTCTAATTTCTTCTGATTTTAGATTGTATTTTTACTAGAATCCCAAAATAAGGCTCCTATTTGGCATAGGGTGCTTTGTACTTTCTGTTTTCTTCTTGTTTGCCTTAGGTCATTTTTTTTTTTTTCACCAGAATATTCTTCAGTAGAGTTTTGTGTGACTTCTGCCCTTACTTCATTCAAATACAGCTAAAATCCCTGGAGAGACCTTTCTGCACATTTCCACTGAAAATACTCTACCAAGGTTTTCCACCTCCTCACCCCAATCTATTTCTCTCCGTAGACTTATTGAATGTTTGCTCACTGTCTCTTTTGCTCATTAAATTCATGAAATTGAGGCCTCTGCTTTATTCCCACCTATGTCTGCTGTGCTCTTAATGGTTACTGGAAGGTAGTAGCAACTCAGTGAATATGTGCTGAAGAGGCAAAAGGCTCCCGACCAGTGGTATGTGTCCTTGCTCAGGTGCCCCATCTTTGCCAGGCTTTAGTCTGGTGAATATAGTCAAAGTTCCACAGTCTGATAACATCAAAAGTGTTGACTCTTCAAAAAAGTTATTTATTGATCTCTCCTTGAAAATGTGCATGAAGAGTTATAAACTCTTAGTTCAGAGTCCATTATTTCCTGGTATTTACAGCAGGACCGCCTCATGATGAATGACAACTTATATTAAAAACCTTGTTTGTCTGCCATTATTGAGGAATATGTAGATTTTTGGGCAGTATAAAATTTTAAAATACTCTTAAACTATTTTGTTGATGTGAAAATACTTCATAATTTTTGGATCTTTGCTTCTGGACATATAGAATCATAAAGATTACATGTATCTTCTCATCTGAAAGAAATGAAAACCAGGACAGAATATATGACACAGTGGTTCCCAAGATCCTGGATATGAGGCAGTAAAAGACCTTGATCTCTGTTTGGAAGGCAAACAAGGTGATTTCTATAGTTTCCTCAGCTTACTATCTGTAGAGAGCTTCTGGCCCATGGTACAGGGAAGGAAAGCCAGGCCAGACCTGAGCAACCTCCTTGTGTTTGGGGGCTTTGAATGGAAGTCCAGGTGAGCCACAATTAGAGTCGGAGGACCAAGCCCTCAGTTCATGCGTATGTAGACCCACCCGAATCTCAGAGAGAAACACTTACAATGAGGAGGGGAGGCCTGTCTCTGGCCTGGTGATGGAGAGTGGAGACTGTTCTTAGTGGCACAGGTGGGATGTAGCACAATTCTCAGGTTCAAGTGAAGGAAGCCAAGCAAAAAGTGTACATAGTGTATGATTCCATTTACAGGAAATTACAAAATTAAAATGAATCTATAATGTCAGAAAACGGATGAGTGGTTGCCTAGCAACTGGTCTTAGGGCAGAGAAATGCAGGACAAAGGCACTGTAGAGGACAGGGGTAATCTCTTGGAGGCAGTGGGCATATTCATCATCTTAATTATGATGATGGCTTTGCAGAGATGTACATATATCGACCCCCAACTAACTTTATATATGTTTTATTATACTAATTAGTAAAACTGATAAAAATATGTAATCAATGTTCCCTAAATTCTCAAACATTTCCTTCATCTTTCATTTTTCTTTTTTTTGACCCAGGAATTGAACTCACTACCTTGTGCTTGGCAGTGGGCGTTGTGCCACTGAGCGATATCCCAGTCTTCAGCCTCCTTTTCTTAAGAGTCAATCAGACATGATTTAATACTTTTGGAGTATCTCTGGTTCATCAGTTGGAATATAGACTGTTACTAGACTGCCTCAGTGTGAACTCAGGAATGTAAACACTTGAGCCTAGCTAGAACTGGGATGTTGGTCTCCCCTTGAGTTCCTTGAGCTTCTGTTTTTGCTGTCAGCATTCAAGAACTCCTGCCAATAGCTTGGCCTCCTCCCAATTGAAACTTTATGTCAGGCTTCATTTGGCTTCATGTGCATGACCAAGCCCTTTCACAGACTAGAGCCTGGAGGTGGCTCAGCAGGTGCTGTTACCATACTTACTGTCCAGTACTAAGGAGCTCTCATTCAGCTTCCTTGGGCTGCTCCTCGCTGCCTTCTCTCCTTCATTTCCAAGATCAACCTGGACAGGTGGGGTGAGTTTTGCTTTTCAAAGACAGGGCCAGGGCTCATCCTCTGGTCAGCAAATGAATGAATGAAAAGGGGTGAAAGTATTTAATAACCTGACTTACACAACTGCCTTTTGCTTGTCTGTTTATTGTCTTTGATTAGACCAGCTCTCCAGGAGATTGCACTGTGGTGCTTATGAAGTGGATGTTAGACACCCGTGCTCCCAGTTGTTAGTTTCATCGCACAGTGAACATCAAGGTCCCAGAGGTGACAGGAACAGCAGCGTGATTGCCATGGACAATGGCGTGAACCTCTTTCTGGTCTAGAAATATGGCAATGGGAGTTATTTGTGTTGGCTAGGCAGAGAGCTGCGTATTTTCAGATTCTTTCACTCATTTGCATCATCCTAAAGCTTTGAAGTTACTTTGGTGGCCTCTTTCTCATTTATTTGGAATGCAGCAAGGATTTCTCTGCAGGCTTGTTGCGGACAGCCTCTCACTGAACTTTTCTGAGAACAGGCATGCAAATGGCGTGTTTCATGTCTGGTTCAGCCATTGATTTGGGCATGTGATATTTCCTGGAACATTGTGTCCTGAATAAAACAAAAGGCTCCAAAATGCAATCTCAGAAATGGACTATTTAAATGTCCCTGAATGAGGAAGCACAGTCCAATTATTTCTGTCTCCTGGAGTACACAGAATGTACAAATCTATAGCTGGAGGGTTAGTGCTTGACTTGAAGAAATGTTACATTTTAGAAAAATTCCTTTTGAGAATAAATAGAAAATATAAAGCATGACATCTGAAAAATTGCTTGCTTAAAATGGCCATAGAAGGTGTCACATAAAGCAGAGTAAGAGACATTTTTTTGATTTCTAGCATTGAAATATTGGTGTCTAAAAATGAATTGCTGTCATAGAAATAAATTTGATTTTGCTCCTGCTCTAATAAAAACAAACTGAAATAATCCTTCTGAGGTTGATAGCTTATTTAAGCTTTTAATTTTACATTGTGGAAAATTATTGTTCTATTGTATTCATTAATTAAGAGTCTGTCTAGGGACAGCCTTGCTGATTTTGAAGGCTTGATTTTGTGATCCTAAGACTAAGTTCTTTCTTCTTGCCTGGATAAAAAGTAGCATGCAGCACCAGCCACGATCTTTATACCTGTGATATATCTGTGTCTTTCATGGTGTGAATCTCTGGTTGTCTTCCCTCCTGTGGGTGAGGTGCATTTTCTCTGCTGTGTGACATTGTGTTTGAAGAGAACAGAGCAGAAGTGACCACATGGAAGTTGTGGGCCTCAATTTCATGTGAGTCTACTGCATTTTGGCTCTGCCACTTCCACGGGACAATGTGCCTAAACCTCACCTGCCCATGAGAGGAAGAGGACGAGGAACACACATAGCACCTAGTTCCACTGAGCCCGGGCCTTGCCACACACACAAGGGCAAGTTAAGTAAAGGTGTAATGCACACCACTGAGATGTGTTTGTTATGCAGCAGTATTGTAGCGGTATCTAACCAACACATCCACAGACAAAACTAATTTCAACAAGAGTGCCTAAAAATACTTATTCACTGTGAGTTTTCTAAACACGTATAACAAAATGTTTTGTTTGCTTTTTTTGTTGTGGATTAGGATCTCAGGTTAGAAATAATCATGACATCATGACATCAATTTCTTAGAAATAAAGAAATAAGACCATAATAGGATTAAATGAAATTAATATGGAAAACTGCTTTTAATACAGTTCTTGCTACCTAGTAGGCATTCAGGAAGAATTTCTTTAAAGTATTAAGAAATGAGTGGGTGGAGATGCTGCTTTCCTTTTTTCCCCCTTTACTAATTTACAAGAAAGTCAAAACATTTAAAGAAGAATTTTCAAATAGAAAATCAAGCACAAATAATTCACAAATCATTGTTTTAAGTCAGTAGTTCTCGAATGGATGTGATCCCCCTCCCAGGAAATGCCTGAGGACATTTTTGACTGTCATAATGTTGTGTGTGTGTGTGTGTGTGTGTGTGTGTGTGTAGGGTAGGGAGTACTGGTAAGTAGAAGCCAGAGGTACTTTTTAAAAATAATTTTATTGAGAAACAAACATCAATGAGACAGTTTCACAACCAATTACCGGCACCTTAATACATTGCATATTGTTGTCTTAGTGGTTAGTCATTGTACAAGATGCAGACATGATATTCTGTCTCAAATATTATTAAGAACAAACCTCCCTATTCATTGAATTAAGAGAGTGGAGCTGTATGTCTCTGCTAACTATTTTGAGTATACACATACAAAAGGGTCGTTCATTTCTGTTCCACTTTTTTGGTTAGTTTTGTCAGAGAAGGGCATTCCATCGTCATTTAAATATTGTAGTTGCTTGAATTCAGCATAATCTCCCAATAGAGTCCAGTAGTCCATAATAATAGTGGGTTTTCCATAAGACTGGCAATGTCCAAAGTTGTTGACTTGAGTCCAGAGGTATTTCTGAACATCCTACAATGAACGGCAGTCTTCCATAATGAATGTTTATTTAATCCAAATAATGGTTGTGTATCCTTTGAGTGTTTTTGTATCCTTTTTCTTGCAGGTTCCTGACATGTCTTTCTTTTCCTTCCTTTCTTTTCTTCTTTTTTTCCTTCCTTCCTTCCTTCCTTCTTCCTTTCTTCTTTCTTTTTTCTCCTTCCTTCCTTCCTTCCTTCCTTCCTTCCTTCCTTCCTTCCTTCCTTCCTTATCCTTTTGAGACAAGGTCTCACTATGCAGTTTGGGCCGGCCTTAAACTCACTTCGTAGCCCAGGCTGGTCTCGAACTTGCGAGTATTTTCCTGCTATACCTTGCCAAGTGCTGGGATTACAGGTGTATACCATCACACCCAGCCTTATACAGGTGTTGAGCTAAAGGTTTTTGAAGTAAGAAATTCTTACAAGCATGAGCCAAAATACATGATACTCTTGTCTGAATCAGAGGTCACTAAAAGTCTGAGCGCAAGACCCCTCTTTCATATACACCCTGGATAACCTGCATCAACTTTGAGTAACTGTCTGAAATAAAAATCTTTAAAAATTACTGACTTGATATATTCAACCAGGAAGGAAAAGTACATCTTAATTCTTGTGCCAGCTCTAATTAGCTGACAACAGCTCCCTGGAGCACTGCATTAAGGAAGGTCCTGAGGCCGATGGTGAGGAGCCAGGTGGACACAGTAGTGGAATTGTGAATGCAACACCTTTGCTACCTCCCGGAACACTTTTTGTCTTGTTCATTGTGGCCTAGGATGGCTTTGCATATGAGAGAGTTTGCACACAGGAGCGATGCCGTCTGGAATTGAATCTTGGCTCCGGCACTAATTTTTAATCTTGGGTAAATTATGTAGGCCTACAGTATTTCCTTTATTTGTGAACTGCAGGTGATAATATCTACCATATAAAAGTGGTGTAAAGAAAAATGGCTACAGTCAACCTATAAAATGTTTAAAATACTCTCTGGCTTTTTGTAAGTATGGTTTATTATTGTCATTAGTATTAGTATTATAGATAATAAATAAATTATATTGGAATGAATATATTCAGCTGTTTTATTACAATATTTTTTTCATGTATAGGAAGTTCTGGTCATGTTTTAAGCCTGCTAATCAATTTTTAGTAAGCTCAGGTGTACAGTACTCAAGAAGAGAATCATATCCAAAGTATTATTTTCTTTTTCTTTTTGTATTTTTTAGTAAGGGTCTACAGGGTCTCACAACATAGATCAGACTCATAGTGATCCACCTGGGTTCAGCCTCCCAAGTGCTGGGATTACAAGTATGTTCTACCACGCCCAGTCTCAATCTCTGTCTCAGCATGCCCCAGGGGCAGGGCTGGCACTGCAGGCTGGGGATTGATCCCTGGTCACTGCGTCTGCCTAAGCGGGTACTTTAATCCACTGAGCTATTTGGCCGGCCCTCAAATATTTTCTATTTAGTATCTACCAATCCAAATTACAGAAAAATTAAATCATCAGGATCTACCTACTATATAATGTGACTCATTTTCTTAGCAAAATAAAAAGGACGAGGTGTTACTAGCTCCTCTGAGGGACGCTATTAAATGCAGGAGCATGATATCATTAAAGGTGAAGTGAAAAATTCTGAATCTTTGACATTTATCTCTATACTTGAATCTATACATTGGACTACTACATTTCAAAGGGAATTCTAATGATTACAGAAATTTTTTTTAAGGATGGTATACTTAAATAAACCACACAACACACACTGTAGGTGAGCAAATGAACTTGAATCTTATTCTTGGGAAGAGGTTTTTAAAACTTATGAGAGCATGTTTCGATTTGTTTATGCACATTTACTGCAAGCGGGGAGCAAGCAGTCATCGATGGTGCAGTTGGGGAAATGGACTGGACTGGAGCTTGCTCTGAAGTGAGTCTTGCATATGGCATTTTGGGCCACTTCCTAACATCAATACTTGTGGACCTGAAAGGATCTCTCTGAGACCTAAAAGGAAATCTACCCAAGGAGAGAGCATTTCGGGAGACTGTGCATTCTAAAATTCTTCCTTAAGATAGACTTCTCTTTAAAAATAATCATTGCCATTTTTCAGGAACCAAATCATATGTAACTGAGTTTGTATTTCCTACTGGAAAATTTAAAGAATGCAACTCATGTGTGGTCTATGCCCACTGTATGAATTTCAGACCAGCAGCGGCACTTGGAGCTTGTTAGAAACATAGACTCTCAGGCCTGACCTCTGAGCTCCCGAGTCAGCCTGCATTTGACCCAGGTCCCCGCGAGGTGTATAAATGCATTAAAAGTTCCAACAGTGCTGCTAGAGGTTGCTGGACAATCTAATAAGATGAGAGAGACTTTCACTAAGCACCAGGGAGGAGAGGTGGTTGATTCCAGAGTTTAGACTGGTAGTCACTTAGATAAATACAATTTGGATAGTGCCGCAATAAAAATGTTTGCTCAAATGGCATGTTGATTTTGTGAAAAGAAAGTCAGCTGAGAGAACTCAAATACAGAAAGTCAGCTTCTGATCTCTGTAGGTCCTGCTGCTCCTGTCCCATTACTTATATAGTTAGAAAGGTAATGTTTCCAAGGTCTGATCTTATAGCCAGACAAATGCTGAACCGAGAATCTGACCTGTTTAGTGAAGTAGGAGTTGGATTTTCATGGGGGAAAGTGACCTAATTACAGGGTCACTAAATTCTTGCCAATTTTCACAGCATTTGCTTTTCAGTTCTCTGGGGAGAGTGAGGTTAGGAGAGTCAGGAAGGGCAGGTCATGGCTGCTGAATGAAGTCTGCAATCACTGGTTAATTTAAAACAAAACAGCCACGTGGCCATCCCACGCACAATCATGAGGCGGCCTGCTGCAGGTGTGTCTGCTACAGCTGATAGCCAAGAATATTTATCCTCTCCTGGGTTTAGAGCACTGCCAGAGGTAAAGCCCCTTTTCCTATGGCTTGTCACGAACTACTGGTGACAGAGGGGCTCCCGCCTCCTAAGAAAGAGCAGACTAATGAGATGTGACTGCTGCTTCTGGGTAGAGGCCCAGGACTGATGCTTGCTGCAGCAACTCTACTGACCCCAGTAAACTGATGTTTATCGATGGTCTGTTGACATAACAAACGAAGAGTTTGTGATTTAGGCATGTTTGTAAGCCCTTAAATAAATATGGTGTTTTCTAATAGTCTATTTTGTAATTCATCTTCAATACACCCACTGCTTCCCTGGAAGATTTTCCATTGTGTTATTTACAAAAGGGCTCTGTTGAAACAATAATGTGTATCTAATTTTTTAACCACCCTTCCCCCTCCACCAGCAAAGCTCAGC